GGGATTTCCCCCCGGCAGGGGATTTGGAGCCCAAAAAGCCGGACATGTCCGGGAAAATCCGGACGTATGGTAACCCTAAGCATGACCATTCTTATGTTCTTATTCTCCTCCAGTGCACAACCTGCTATCAGTTACTCCATTAGCTCAAGTGGCCGAGGTCTATGTGGTGGATCTAAAGGTTCTAACCACACTGATGACACATGTGGGTGTCAATATGTCAAATACCATATGACCATGTAATTACAGACTGTATCATACATACACACAAGGAGGTTGATTTAAGGTTTCACAAGCACTCTTTCATACATTCCAAGGCCAGCAGGGACCATTGTGATTAACTAGTCTGACTTTCTATACAACACAGACCTGCCCCAAAATAATTCCTAGAGCAGATCTTTTAGAAAAATAGCCAGTCTTGATTTAAAAATGGTCAGCGATGGAGAATCAACCACAACCCTTAGTAAGTTGCACCAGTGGTTAATTACCCTCACTGTTAAACATTTACACCTTATTTCCAGTCTGAATACTGGCATTTCCTAACTTTGAATCATGCCTGAACTTCAAACCTTTAATAATGTTCTTGTAACAGTTTTCTGGGTATTATTTGCACATCACACCTGTGAGCATGCTAAGTTGCACAGCCTTGTGATACACTTCTTTTATCATGTACCTTATATCACCTGCGATGTGCAAAGGGTGACTGTGCCAGCCTGTCTCTGAAGATACTGACAAGCCCCGAGCCAGCCACTCAGCTGTGCAGCCAGAATCTCCCCTGGGTGCAGAACCCATCAGAGGCAGGAAGGGGCCTTCGCCAGGACGGAAAGGACGGGAGGCTGACGGGCAGTTTGAAAGAGGGGACAACGCCAAGGCAACCAACCGCTCCCCTCCCAGCTCAGGCCGAACAGCGGGGCCGGGAGGGGGGAGCCCTCCCCCCAGCTTGTCACGGAAACCTCTGGCGGGGGGAGCCCCACGGGACCTTGGCAACCTGCGCGGTGGTACAGCCAGCCCAGCCTCAGCGAGCCCGGGGCAACGCCAGGAGCCCCAGACGGCTACAGCCAGAGGCGGCGGGGAGCCCCACAGACAGCCTCTCCCCGCCCCCAGGCATTGCCCCAGGCGGACTTATCTCATGCCCGATCTCGCTCCCTTACTCACCACTTTCCGCTGTCATAATAGGGACTTCCGGGTGCCCCGCCCCCTCGGCTGCGGGGTCACATGACCTAACCTACCCGCCACAGAGATGAGCCACAAGAGAGGCCAGAGCGTCCCATTGGCTTGGGCCTGGTGAGGGCTGTGCTTACACAGCGAGCCACTCCGCGATCCGAAGTCACAGGGACCTGCAGCTAGACGGGGGATTTGTTATCGTGCGACCCACCCGTTCCTCGCTAGGAACCAGGGCCTGATGTGAGGGAAGGGGAGAGACCTAGGCCCCCGCTTGGCCTTCCCTCCTTGGGGGCCTTGCCCACAGATAACATGGCGGCTGGGCCTCTCCCTCCGCGGAGTTCTGTGCCCACACCTGATACGGCGACTAAAACCTCCTCGCTGGGGCCTTTGCCCACACCTAACATGGCGGCTAGCTCGCCTCTGGGGGCCTTGCCCACACACAACATGGCGGGTGAGCTCCCCCGCCCTCCTGGGGGCTCTTGCCCACAGCTAACATGGTGGCCAGGGTGTGGCTTGCATGTGTCTCGCGAGATCTCGGCTAGTATATGTTGCGCGATCGGAGGCGGTTCCGGTCTCTTGTGCGCGCTATCCTAGGCCGGGAGGTGACGGGAAGTTGCCTGTCTCTCGCGCCCCCGATCCGGCTCCATCTGGCTCGGGCCCGCCGCCACCATGCCGCCCAAGTTCGACCCCAACGAGATCAAAGTCGGTACGTTGGTTGGGGGGCGGCCCGGGAGATGCAGGGTCTGGGGCCGCGACACGCCGCGGAGCCGCTGTGCCCGGGCGGGGAGCAGAGCGCGGCGCTCCCTGAGGTGTTTTCCGCTGCTGTCTGACGTGGGGCGGCCTGGCGCGCTCTGCTTTGCCGGTGCCCGGCCTGGGTCCTGAGCGCGCCACTAACCGAGGCCTGGCAGCGCGCCCCGGTCAGCCGGGGGCTGTGCAGCGTTACAGCCGATCCCATCCCGCCTGATGAGACACGGCCAGCCGGTGTCCCCTGCGCAGCTGCCGCCTGGCTGGGGCCTGGGCTACGGCCCTGGGTGCCACGTGGCTGCTGTTCTCCGTGGGCAGCTCAGGCTGCACGTGCTGCGTACAGCCGGACCCTCTTTGGGTTCGTTATTGGGTGCAGGTGGCTATAGCAAAGCTTTACAAGCGACCGCGGGCTGTGTGAGCTCCCTGACCTCTCTGTATTGCTTTTACCTTAGTGTTCCTGAGATGCACCGGCGGGGAGGTCGGTGCCACTTCTGCGCTGGCACCTAAAATCGGCCCTTTGGGTTTGGTAAGTAGTGCTGGGAAAGATGTTGCTATATGTAGCTCACGGTATTAAAACAGATGCTGCTGTAACTGATACCTGGATGGCTAATCTATTAAAAGGGTATAATTAGGGTTAAATTACTTTAGTCTAAGCTAGAGATTTTTGTCCCAACGTGAACCTCTAAAACCCCACTGCAGAATAGCCATGAGCTGAAATCTAACTATGTGTGAGTCCTGAGCTAGACTGAGTCAATTGCCTCTTTAACTACAGGAATCCAGTGTACCCACTTCCCTTTTAGCTAGGAATTCTGTTTACTTCCTTAGCAGTCTCTGTAAAGTGTTCAGCTACTCTCAGTGCATGAAAATTGCTCTACATAAAAAGCGTTGGCTCTTCTAAAATGCTGTAGGGTTTGTCATAGATGTGAGTTTGATACTTGTGATTGGGCTGAGAGCAAATGTGCAATAAATTGAATTTAGCATTGTTTTTGTATAACTGGACTATTGTATCTCTTTGGGTGTGGTGTGTGAACATGTTAGTGTACCTCCCTGTGTGTGAGGGGGCTGTGGTATTGAGCTGGGTTTTTTGAGGGGGGGGGGGAGGAAGATTAGCAAAATAAAAAGGCCATTGAAGGGAGTGAGAAGTGTGATGGGGAATGACTCCGGCCTTGGCTCCACTTGGGAATTCAGGCAGCGCTGTGAAGCGCAAGTGTAGTCACGCCACCAGCGCGCTGTATGTACTCCACCTCTGAGGGGAGTAACTTGCAGTGCTGCAGGCGCTGATTACACTGGCGCTTTACAGCGCTGCACTTCGGGGGGAGGGGGCGTTTTCACACCCCTGAGCGCAGCAAGTTGCAGCGCTGTACAGCGCAAGTGTAGCCAAGGCCTGAGGGTTGGAGGGGCCTGGTGTAAATAGCCAGTCAGGGCAGAGGAAAAGCTGCAGAAAGCTGTCTAATGTGTGTCCAGCAGTCCCTGCTGCCACTTCTGGGTTTGTGGCTTGCTCTGCTGAGGCATTTCTCTCTCCATGAGATTGCAGAGATACACAGGAGGGTTTGTATTTGCTTACATCAGTGAATTTAGCTGGCTGTTTGGCAAGAGGGGAATCTTTCAAGTACAACAATAAAAATAACTCCAGGTACAGGGCATGAAGTGTACAACATAATACAAGAGCTCAAATAAATGAGTGTGTTGGAAAATCTCATTCTGAAGAGAAAGTCAATTAAATGCTTGTTCTTGTCTTCAGTCTCCCAAAAAGGTTGGTGATGACATCGCCAAGGCAACAGGTGACTGGAAGGGGCTGAGGATCACAGTGAAACTCACTATCCAGAACAGGCAAGCTCAGGTACTAAACGCCAGAAGGGATGGCTTAGTGGTAGAAGCGCCAGGCTTGAAACACCTGGATTAGCTGGAACCACAAATGTCAATCCCGGCAGGGTCGACTCAGCCCTTCATCCTTTCGAGGTAGATAAAATGAGTTCCATGCAGTTTACTGTGTGGGGGTCTCCTGGACAAGACCTTAAAAACAAAGTCCTTCCTAATCTCTGTAGGCTCTGAAGAGCTGGGGAGTATCCAAGGCCAGAACTGCCTCTGGCCCACCATCCAGAGGCGGCTGCATTTCAGTGTGTAATTCAGGGCTGTCTAGACCGACGGTGCTGTGTTTTTCACTGTGCTCAGAAATAGCTGTGTGTCTCTGAGTCAAGAGCAGGCATCAAACTGACCATCAAGGTTAATGACAACAGAGCGGAGAGAAACAAATGGGTTCATCGGTCTGCCAGGGTTGGTATCATATTAGTGTTGTCATGGTTCCGAGAGTATTTAAGGTGTAACCTTTGACTGATAAATACTGGAGGTGGGAGGTGGAGAGCAAGTTTTTAGACCAGGGGGACACTGTGCCAAACCGAAATATTCCAACTGCTCTTTAGTATACTTGTAGCCACCCACAACCATACCTGTCTTGTACTGAAGTGACTGGTGTACTCCAGTGGTGAGCTGAGAGGGAATCCCCAGCTTAGGAAGCAGGGCTATTCTGTTTGTGGAGAGCTCTGTGCCGAAAGGCTGGGAACATTGAGTCACGCGTCTTTCCATAGAGAAGAATAGTAACAGGCATGTCCAGTACACACAGGTGGGAGGGTGATTGTAATTATTTTCTAGTAAATACAATGTATTTAGGTTAATTACAATTCTGTGTGAGTCGGAGGATGTGTTTAGTTAGCTCTGTCCTGAGACTGACTAGTTCTTCTGTCAATGATTCTGCATTTGCTTTCTGACCTCAGTATCTCCTAAAGAAAACATGTGCCTCTCCCCCATTTAGATTGAGGTTGTCCCTTCTGCCTCTGCTCTAATCATCAAAGCCCTCAAGGAGCCTCCTCGTGACAGGAAGAAGCAGAAGAACAGTAAGATTAATTTATAATAATAATATAATATAGAGAGATACCTATTTCATAGAACTGGAAGGGACCCTGAAAGGTCATTGAGTCCAGCCCCTTGCCTTCACTAGCAGGACCAAGTACTGATTTTGACCCAGATCCCCAAGTGGCCCCCTCAAGGATTGAGCTCACAAGCCTGGGTTTAGCAGGCCCAATGCTCAAACCACTGAGCTATCCCTGCCCCCTAAGATTTCCGTTTTGCTAACTTCCATTGGTTACTAGTGCTAAGTGGTGCATCCAGCCAGCCCAGATCTGGCTGGCTGTCACTTAACTTGCCTGCCTCCAGTTTACTCCTCTGCAAAATGGGAATATTTGCCAACCTTGTAGGGGATTGTGGGTCTTCATTAATGTTGTGAAACACTTCGAGATTCCAACCTGCAAAGCACAGAAGTACAATCCAAATCTATCTGAAGGGAAAATTACTCCCTAGGATGCAGGGAATTGAAATGATCTGCCTGTGGATGATGTACTTGTATGACCCGCTCAATGGTTCTCAAACTTTTGTATTGGTGACCCCTTTCACACAGCAAACCTCTTGGGTGTGACACCCCCCTTTACAGATTAAAAACACATTTTTATATTTAATGCTATTATAAACGCTGGAAGCAAAGCAGGGTTTGGCGCCTACAGCTCATGACCCCTTGAGGTGTCACAATGCCCAGTTTGAGAACCCCTGGACTAGCTGGAGATTGACTTGTCTAAAACTTCAGTAAAACAGCCACCTGCCACTGTACCTGTCTAGTATGAAGTGGCTGGTACAATCCAGTGGTGAGCTGATAGAAAACACCAGCTTAGGAAACAGGGTTATTCTCTCTGTGGGTAACTCTGTGCCAAAGTCTGGGAACACCCGATGATAAAACCAAGACCTCATAAGGAATGAGTGTGCTGGTGTATTATCCCCCTACCCTCTCCACTCCCAAGGCTGAGAAGTTGAACTGATTTGGTTAATACTTTTCAGAGGACTCAGAGGTGGTTTGATTTTGTTCACAGTTAAACACAGTGGCAGTGTCAGCTTTGATGAGATAGTAAACATCGCACGCCAGATGAGGCACAGGTCCTTGGCCCGGGAGCTCTCTGGTAAGAGCAGTATGCTGCTAGTGGGTTACTAATGTGGTGGCTGCCATAGGCTGGTCCTGAGTGCCTGAACCAGCTCTGCCTTCTGAACTCAGATGGGCTGCAGAGGCCCTCATCCTGCTCTTCTACCCACTAGCTGGGCTCCATGCCAGCAACTTCAGCCTCTGCTGTAGGTTTTCACTTACAATACTCCTGGTGTGAAGTGGTAGTTTCAGAGCATTGGACAGTCAAGCTGGCAGAGG